CCCCCCCGGCGGTCCTCCTCCAGCGCCTTGCTGCAGGTGCGGGGCCGCCCCGGGCGGCCTCCCTCCTTTCTCCTCCTCCTCCCCCGGCTCCGCGGTGCCTGGCGGGAGCCGCCTCAGCCCCGCTCGGCCCGCAGGTGTTTCCCGTGCGGCTTCCTTCACAGGTGCTGTTCCGGGTGGTCACCTTCGGGCTGAACGCGTTCACTCTGCGCTACCTCTCCAGAGAGCTGATCGGCGTGGTCAACGTGAGGTGAGGAGGAGGATGAAGAGCACCCGGGCTGGAAGCCCGTGTCCCGCATCCCGACCGCGCTGTTCGCCCGAAGCCTGACATACGTGAGGCTTCCCTGGGAACGGGTCTCCCGGCGTGATGGGGCTTTTTGAAAGCGTTTGTGTTTGGTGCAGGATGTCGGGGGCCTCTGGTCTGCGGGCTGCGTCCCTAATCATGCTTTGCATAACGCTGTTGAATTTACCGTTAGGTGTTTTACAATGTTTGGTCGTTGAATGTCTCCCGAGTTCTGTTTTGGCCTGAAACAAAGGTGCTGCTGGCCTGTTTTCCATGTTAAAGCATCAGCTTGCTGAGGAAAAGCCAGACGCAATTGCGTATTATGTGCTGTTGCTATATGACAAATTTTTCAACTGTTTTTTTGGTTTATCGCATGCTTAAAGTATTTTTGCTGTTTGAATAATCACATGTAATACTTCCCCTCCTTTTTTACGAGAGGATGATAATTTATCTCATATCACCGTATTTTCTTTGCGTACCTGTTAGATTTGTGTGTCGAGCAGTCCTGTGTAAAAACTGTCAGTGATGCTACTGCATGAAGGATTTCAGCAGTAGTAGGTAAGGAAATAATTTTCTCTTTCTTTTTCCTCACTTCCTTTAGGCTAACTCTACTGTATTCAACAGTTGTCTTCCTAGCCAGGGAGGCATTTCGCAGAGCTTGTTTGAGTGGAAGTACAAAACGAAACTGGACCAAAACAATTAATCTATTGTGGCTGACGTAAGATACCTTTAAAAATGTAGTTCTTAAGAATTTATTTCTAATTCTTGTCTGAGAGCTCATAAAATGAGAACAATTATTTACTGAGGTAATTATTTCAACATTGAACATTTAGTAGCCTCAGTCATGTTTCAGGACTGATGCAGGTAACTGGTCAAGTCTGTTGCTTTAGCATTTATGGACTAGTTCTCTTTTTGGAGCACATGGGAAAGTGCATTGCCAAAGGTGTTATCGGGAGCCATTTGTTCTGTCACTTAGCCTGAAGTTTCATTTATGTTGTAGTTGTTAAAGGAAAACCCTGTTGCACAAATACATAGTCCTTTATTTTTTCTTTCTCTGCCTGCTCAGTCTTGCTCTTTTATTACTTGATGTGCATTTGTGAAGCTGCTTTAGATATTTTTTTTTTACCCTTCGAACTATTTTTTTTCAAAGTCTCGAGCCCTGATGTGGTTTATTGGCATGGCAACATAAATGTTTGTGTTGGGTAGGAGAGATGTAAAAAGGTGAAAGAAAGAGTTGGAATTAAGCAACAGGGAGTAAGTAGGACTACTTCTTTCAACTGTAGTGGCGGTTGTAGCAGAAAGTGGTTAGCTTAAAGTCTCCGTGAAGTTGCAGCCAGAGAGTGTAACAGCACATTGCAGCTAAGTGGATTTTATGACTTGTTTGTCCCTTCTGGTTCCTGGATGCATCTCTCTGCTACTTCCCCTTTGTCAGATCTAGCAGCTGTGCAGCCACAATTAGATGGGCTGGGAAGTAAGTTTACCTACCTGATATGTTGGAAAACTACCCCTGCATGATAAAATAGTAGTCTTCCATTGGGGCGCCCTACTGACTTTCTCTGGAACTGCACAGCTGTTAATTAGATCTGGCCCAGGAATTGAGGGGGTTATGTGTGGACATCTGCATCCAGGTATAAAGAAGAGGGATTGTCGCTTTCAGGGATAGGTTTAGTACTAATATTTTAAATGTATTGGATCAGTTCTGTTTGCTGCATTATAGTCAATTTTCTGCTATTTGACAGCCTTTCAGGTGGGCATTAAATGGTAGAGGCAACAATGACTGTGTGCACCTTTTCTTTTTAAATTTTTCCTTGTAGAGACGTGTAACTTAAAATGAAGATTAACTTTCTTGAAGGATCTGAAATATGTCTTAGGAGCTTGATGTCAAATACCTTAGGGAACTGATAATGTGAGGGTCAAATAGATCCTGCTGCAATGATGTAAAACTTTCTGCACTCTGCCAGAAGCATTGTGTTCCTGAAGTAGTGTCAACAGAAGGTAATATGCATCTGCACTCCTGTGCCTAGGTTGGCTTTTAGCTACAGTCACTAATTGAAGTAGCTCTGAGCTCCGGTAGAGCATTGTAAACTGGCATACCTGAGGTGCAGGCATGCATTTTCTTCTGCTTATTCTGCTGTCGCTCTCTGGAGAACCTGTGATTTCTGGAAGAGTGAGACTAGCAGTTGGAGTGGTGGCATCTTTATCTGTTACAGCAAGATTCAACAAAGCTTGTCTGCAAAAACCCTGGTAACCACAGCCTATAAAAATTGCAGTAATGAGGGGGGTTTGCAGTATTCTGCAGGCTGATGTGGGATCAGAATTATTTGGTCCTAGTGAACAAGACATGCAGATAGTTGACCTTATGTTAGGTTCTTGAGTAGAAAATAGGCAAGTCAGAAAAAATGTTTCCTGTGTCTTGCAAAGAGTGCCTTGAAGATGTTTGTTACAAAAAAAAAAAAAAGAAAAAGAAGGTATTCTTGGTATAGTAACAGTAGAAGCTAATTCCTTGGGGCCTTATTTTAAAAATTATTATGGCCATATGTGACATTTTAATCTAATTTACTTTGGGGTTTTTTTTTCTGCTAAAGTAACATTTCTATTGATTTGTTTTTATGTTAACTTTTTAGAGTCCCTCTTGGTGTTTTTTGGTCTATTTTCTTGGGCTTCGTCTGGCTACACTTGCTTGAAGTACCTGATCCTTCTGTGGTTCCTCATTATCAGGCTGGTGTAGTGGCATTTGGTCTTTCTGCAATTATTGAGCTTCTGGGAGAACCGTTCTGGGTTTTAGCACAAGCTCATTTGTTTGTGAGACTTAAGGTTAGTAAAGTACATGGGGTATATGCGTATGGGGGGAAATTATGTTTCTCTATTGAAAAAGAACAGATTCCTGAACTAGATCTTTCTATGTTCAAGCATATAAAAACTGCACAAAACTGTGTGTACTGTTTAGTACTGTATGACATAGTTGTAACACAGATATGAATTTGTACCTGTAAAAGCAAGAAAGTTGGTTTATTTAGAAATTATCACCTTAATGATCATTAAATGCTTAATCATGAGTTTTAATTGGAGGGAGAGGCACACAGTGTCTACTATTTTGCATTTTGATTGATTGTTGGTATGAAATTGTGAAATGCAACAATTGAGAACATGATTGTCTCAAGCAAAATTTTCTCCCTTATGTCCCATACAAAGAACTGGGAAAGTGCAATAGAGGAATTGTGAAATGCAAGAATAGAAAATTTACAGTGAAAATACAGTCTAAGATGGCCAACTCAGCAGAAAGAAACTCTGTGACAGTCACACTGCCTTTGAAAGTCTTATATTCCTGCATAAATTCTGTGTGTGAAACTAATGTATTGTAAGTTTGTGTATGTGGTTAAGTTGGCAGAAAATAAACGTTCTCTATTTTCTCTTTCTTAAAGGTTATTGCTGAAAGCCTTTCAGTAGTGTCAAAATGCATTTTGACGGTTATTTTAGTAGTCCTTTATCCTCAGTGGGGCCTCTATGTTTTTTCCCTGGCTCAGGTAAGTTTCCTGTGTTCTCTTCTATGAATTCTTGATTCATCTGAATTTTTATTTGCTGCTGTCTTTGACATTTAGCCTGCTAAATAACTTTGAGGGGATGAGAGAAAATGCTCCTGGGAGGTTTAAGATTTAGCACTTGTATTTAGCATTTTCCTGATACTCGTTATTGACTTGGCACTTTGGCCCTGAGCAGTTTAATGGATGTACAAGGAAGCACCTTCTTCTGTCTGTGAAGGCATGTTTTGCAAATAAGGTTATGTTATTCTGTATAAGTTTTATGTAACTTTTCTTCTTAATCAGGTATACATTCTAATACTTGAAGACTCTGTTCACTACCTGGCTTAAGTATTAATATTAGACTTTGGATTCTACTGTGTAGAAGATTATAATCACGTATGATTTTATCAGCCTGTACTGCCAACCTATATCACTTTATCAGAAGGTGCTAATCATGTGTAACGTAATTGGATTAAAACTTTTTCTTTACTAAATGAAGAATGGATATATTGGCACCTGAAAAATAGGGTTGTCACCTGTGCAATATCATATAAATGAAAATGTGATCCACCTCATATGTGGACATTTGGTTATTTTTTTGTTCAGTTTTTGCAGTGGCTGTGGTAGACAGCTTATAACTGATCGAAGAAAGTGATATAGATGGTAGCTACTCTGTCAACTTGGTTTTTGACTGAGTGAATAATTGCTTTATAATTGGACTTCAATCATTCTAAAAATGCTGAATAGAACATAAAAGTTGGCAAAGAGCTAGGATAACCTACAGATAAAAAAAAATCAGCACGGTTCTTGGGGAGTTAAAGTGTTTAGCTCATTTAAAATTTGACAGGAATAAGGACTACTTCATTTTGTTCTCACTGAATTTAGAACTCTAGCATGTAATTCTGCATTTGTAAGTTTATATCACTGGTTGTTTTTCTTCTCCCTTCCCTATCTTTCCAGCTTTTATATGTCAGTGTTCTGGTAACGTGCTATGTAACTTATTTTGTGATGTTTTTGGGGTCTCCTGAAGCAACAAAGAAGTCATTTCCAGTTGCTAGAATGAAAGCTTTATTACCTAACTTGGTGGAAGATGAGGTAGGTTGCACAGTTAATTTCTTGATTTTAATTTTTTTCTTGAGAGCGCTTTGAAAATTCGTTTGAGATAGTGGAGTTAATTGAGTGATTTTGAGGGTATCTCTGCATTGTAGAAGATAATGACTGATTTAAAAAAAATAAATGACAAATTCTTTTTGTGGTTTGTATCAATAAAATCCTTGTCGGAAAAACATTATGAAACTTGACTTTTCTGTTGTTATGGGTTTGTTGCTGACTTATCTCTTAGTATCTTTGTGCAAACCATTAACTGGAGATAGAATATCTATAGCGTGCGGGGGAATGACCAGGTATCATGGGATCTGAGGGAGGAAAGAAAACAGAACTATTTTACCATGAATTTTGGTACTTGGACTTTTCCACAAAATGAATGTGGTACACAGCAACCTACAGATACTCAAATATCTCTGATGTCCTCTCAAAAGAAAATGAGGCAAGAAAGAAATGAAAACACAGAGTGAGGAAGAAGACATTTTGAAAAAGATTTGCAGATTGAAAAGATAAAGGTGGTTCTTGGTTGCAAGATTTGTGGGGATGGTTTGAAGAACAGTAAACAATTTATATCTACAGTGAAGGTGAAAGTTATATTGGGATGCTAAACAGCATGGATTTTTTTCTGCAGTCTCTTTGAATAGTATTTTCTGTAGAAAGTTTGTCTGGGTACTTTATCTGCAGCAATAATTTTCAGCAAGGGAAAAAGTCTTTGCCAGATCAGAGTGCTATTGGTGCTAGAATTATCAATGTTTTAGATTAGTTGTAAGCAGCTATGACATTGTGGGTTTTCCTCATCAGTACAGTTAGAGCTAGCCTAGAGTATTGTGCTTGGGGTTTTTTTTTCAATTTCTACTCTGTAGTTTCAGTCATGTTCATTACATTTCAGTACTACTTTTTTTGCAGACCTTTGTTAACTGGAAGGAAGCATGGTTGACTTGGAGTTTCTTCAAACAATCCTTCTTGAAACAGATTTTGACAGAAGGTGAGGCTTGACATGCAGTTGTGATGGAGAAGGGTTAGTGAATACTATTTGCGAAATTGACTTAAAGCTTGAGAAAGCTGGGGGAGGTGTAGGTATGCGACTTTGAGACTGTTGCCAGCAGATGTTACCAACCTGAATGAAGTTTTTGAGGGTATTCTGAACTAGGTGCTGTCCTGTTTGACTTTGTCTCTTGAATACTTAATGTTGGAAGTGTCTGGACAAGTATTGGGAAAGATTAGGGACTTGTTCTTAAGTTCTTTATTTTGAACTTACAGGTGAACGATATGTGATGACTTTTTTGAACGTGTTAAATTTTGGAGATCAGGGTAAGTGTGATGGTATTGTGGAGTGGTGACACAGTTTTAGTCACTGCTCTTCAGATGGTTCTGAAAATGACTGAAAGTATTTGAATGTAACTTGAAAGTCTGAGAAGATTTCAAAGCCTTTGTGACTTTGGGATGCATTTCAGAGAATGATTGATAGAGGTACAGAAAAGAATTTCATTTAAGAGCCTGGATTTTAATTTTATTTTTTCTTTGAATCAAAACTTTCCAATTGAATATGAGATACCATGTATCTTGTTTCTTTTTTTTTGTTTAAAAAAAAAGCTTCTTTAGTATCTGGTGTGTTATAGTTGTTGGTCTTCAGTTTTTGTAATTCTGTTTTCTTGCTGTTTTCTGTCTTCCTTTTGAATTTGTGTTAGCCGTTACAACAAGAACATCTTTGTTTATAGGATTGCATCTCAAAACTGAATTATGTTCTGTAAAAGACTTCAGTGTGGTTAGAGTAATGTATGGCAGTAGCCATTCAGATGACTGAGTTGCCAGCACCTCGGGTCTTTATGGCTTGGGGAAGGAAAATAGGCTGTAATTGTTGGCTCGCTGTTAGAAGTTTCTTGACTAGTTTGAATTACTTTTAATTGCTGGTAGTAATATGTTCCCCCATAAATACTGAGTATATTTGCGTGCCACCAGTAACTGGAGCCACTTCTGATCCTTCTCCCCTGTAAAACAATTGAACTGCCTTTTACTTGGAGGGTCTTTAAAAGAGTACAAAAATACCTGTACTCTCAAAGTGTTGAGAAACAGGGGTTCCAAGTCCTGTGAAATCAGCCAGAGCCTTATTCTGTTATTTCACTGTGAAAGTGTACGTACTTATCCATATGCCTGACTTTGTATGCTCTCAGTGACTGTACTCTGTGTGTGTGTGTATATATATATACACACAAACATACATAGATGTATTAGCAGGTTTGGAGCAGTATCTTGCTGAGGGTGGAAGTGCTGGTAAAATGTCATGTAGGATTGCCCTTCCACTTCAGTGAAAGTAAAACGAAAGAAGGACCTCACACTAAAAATAGGTATCTTTCTCTTCTCCTGTATCAGTAAATCCTTACATTCCTGTTCTCATTCAGTGAATTTAATCAGGATCTTTTAACTTCCTCTACAGTAAGAATTTTAAATGTGGCTTGGTGCTGTCGCTAGATTCACATCTCTGTAGTTGATGCTTTTGTCCTAGCTTTGCCATCGATGAGCAGGCCTTGTAATTTTGAGCTGTGGTTGCTGTGACTGTCAGAATTTTTAGGGAACACTGCTGTAATGGTGCACTAAATTCCACTTGTTTTCCTTTTTTTCAGTGGAAATGTTAAATTATAATTCATGTAATTGTTAAAGACTTGGAATTAAAATGTGTCTAAAAAATTACAGGTTGCTGCTATCTTGTGTTTTGTTTTTGTTTTAAAAGGTGTGTATGATATCGTGAATAATCTTGGTTCACTGGTGGCCAGGTTTATCTTTTTGCCTATTGAGGAGAGTTTTTATGTCTTTTTTGCTAAAGTGTTGGAAAGAGGGAAGAATGTAAAGGATCAGAAGCAGGTATGTTTATTTTGGATTAATTACATGTCAAATGCTTGATTTTTGTTACAGATAAATTGCATCACAGAAGTGTGACTGACAGAAATGTGTGTTTAAATTTGAGTATAAAGGCTGTTAAAATTGAAAAGTTGAAGTGGAGAACAAAAATGTCGAGTGAGGCTGGACCAGAAAGAGAAGAAAATAGGTAAAATGCTAATGAAATAGAAATTAAACTATTCAGTGGCATAATACTGCCTCGTATTTTAACTGAAGTTAACTTCATCTGCTAAACCCTAGTGTACTCTGTATTTCCAGAAATACTTAGGCAGTTATTTAAATCATGAAAGCATGCTATTTCTATCAAATAAATGCTGTCTGAAAATATTTGACTGACTTGAAAATACAAGAAGCTGTTAAGTATTAAACAGTAATGTTTCGAGAGAGTGCAGTTTTGGGAAGAAAAGAATTGTATTTTTCTTGAGCTTTTGAATTGTATGTGGAGTATCAATGGTTAAACAAACAAGAGCTTTGTTCCAGAGAGTAATATTCATGCATGCTGTAGGTAAGAAATTCTTGATCAGTCATGAAGATCAGTCTGGGCTTTTATCTGATACTATGACAACTTTTTGCAGTAATCCTGCTACTTGCACCGTAGCATGCAGTTAAACAAATCCCATGCTTCAGGTCTTTGGTGGGCTAAGAAAAGTGTACGTATATGTATATTTTATATATAATGTACCTGATATATATAACTGGCAAAATAGTTACGAGTTTTCATTGTATATAGTGAAATTACATTACGAGAATTACAAGACTGCTTCTTGTAATGAGGTAGTAGAACAGACAAGTTGCTTGTTCTGGTGTGGCAAATCCTGTAGTCCCATGCAGCAATAAAAATCTGACTGTGCCACTGACTCAAACTGTGGCCTTGAGCAGATGCCATGCTCTTCTTTGCCATTTACTAACTGTTAAACAGGTGCAAGTGTTGTTTGCACATTTCCTTGAACAGAGATGTTCACGGCTAATTTTTATGTAGAAGTTGTAATGAGCAAAACATAGAATGAAATAATAAATATATTAAAATTGCTGGGAATTAAGACCATGTGTATGGATAACTCAATAACAAAGGATAAGTTTCACACCTTTTTACGCTGTGCATGAAAATAACTACTATATTGATTCTGATTCATGTAACTGAGTACACTTTTTTTCAGGATGATGTCGCTATGGCTGCAGATGTGTTAGAATTGCTGTTGAAACTTGTGCTTCTCATTGGCCTTACCATCACGGTTTTTGGCTATGCCTATTCTCAGTTGGCTCTGGATATTTATGGAGGCTCAATGCTCAGTTCTGGAACAGGTAAAGATTTACAGAGCTGGTAAAGAAGCCATTCTTTAAAAAGAGAAACCACAGCTATTATGTTTTCTTGTGTAAATCAACAGAATTTTTTTTTCTGTAAAACTCCTATTGAAATCAGTTACTTAGCTTGGCTGAATCCAGAACTCATGCCTTTGTAATAGCATCTTTAATACTTCGGCACCTTAAGCTAGAATATGCTGAGGAGCTCTAAATAAGTTTGGGGCTCTACCTTCCTCCAATTTCACATCATTGGAAAAGAACATTTTAAAGGATTGTTTGACTGTTCCATGATGTAAAATTGCTAACTCCAGCTGTTTAAAATAACAACACCCCCAAAACCCATACAACAAATTGGAACCAAAGAATCTATAGTTTTAGCATAGAAACAATGCTAGTGTTTTTTTATAGTGCTAAACCATATAATGGTAGCAGTCTTGCTATAGTTGTACGCATTGAGGAATAAGTTCTACAAATCTGTCCACAGAAGCAGTCATGGAATTTGTAGGTCACCTTGGATTTTCAGGAGAGAAAGTAGAGGTTCATTTAATTCCTTCTTGGAACATAAACACACAAATTGTAGCCTGGAGTTTTCTTGAGTTCTTTCAGTGGTTTGTCAGTTGACCTACAGTAGCTCCTGCTAGAAAAAATGATCTGCCTTCTGTAGCTGAGCCCGGTTCCTAGCTGATCTATTTTGGGTGAAGATCTAGCAGCTCCTCAGAGGAGTTTTTTTTGTTGCATTTCTGTCTGGAAATTTTGCTTGTGTGCCATTGTGGGAGAGTTCTAGCTTGCATTTTCCATTTCACATCTGTTATAATTAAGAGAAAGTTACAGGGAAGATGAAAGCATGTGATGGTATAGTGTGTTGAAGACAGTTGTGCCTGTCAGAGTTCTGCATCTTCAAACCATAACCTTGGAATGTTTTTTGTTGGGTATTAAAATAAACTGCAATTACCTTATTCACTATTAAGGTCATTTGATATATTCTAACCCCATGGACACTTTCCTGTTTTTAAATGTTAAGCATTTAGGTATTTTTGCTTTAGACCCTTGCATGTTAATTGGAAGCTGGTGCTTGATTTGTGTAGTGATTTTAAGGAAAAACCTGTGTCTGCATAACCAAGAAAAAATGTTAATAACTTTTGCATGTTGTTTGGAGTTGTCTTGCTGCTGGTTCTATCGGATTTGTTTCTAATTTTGAAAGCAAATGTTGTGGAAAATTGTCATTCTGTACCCTAGCAGCCAACTCTTTTTATGAAGAAAATGTTTTCTGTCCCTCTTTCTCTTTGAGAATGGGTGTCTGGGCCTAATCTTTTGGACATGCTTACTTGACTGAAAAGGACTATGTTTAGGAATATGGATGCAAGTCAAGTGACTCAATTTTATTTTTTTTACCTAATGGTAATGTGTGAAAATGAAATGTTGAGCATGCATACTGGCTTATTTAACCAGATATTAATGGATATATTATTTTTTTTTCCTGAGTGCTCTCTAGTCTAATGTTTTTCTGCATACTTGAAAAGAAAGTCTTCATCTCTGCCCCACGTCTGCAGTGTATTTACTGCTCACTGGGCAGTTGTTCTGTAGAACTGAAACAGGAGGAGACTTGGTAATATGAACTAGATTGCTGCTATCAAGAAGGAATATTCAGGGATGCACACAAACCTGTTAAAAAGCATGGATTTTCCCCCCCGCCCTCCCTC